GAAATATGTTTTGAATTGCTAAGCGCATGGCGAAGCCTGATACCCTCAAGCACGTTTTAAAAAAAAAAATCGTCGCCAGTACGCGCTCTGGAGCTTTAGCTTATGTGCCCCAGATTCATTGCCACCCATGCCATGGAGCTTGTCTGCATAAAGCAAAAGCCAAAGTCGTCAAGTTGTATCGGTTAACCAAGTCCAACGTTGCAATGGAAAGGTAGTTCAGAGATCACTTTAAAATCCTTTATACCCTTGTAGCAAGAAGCAGGTTACGTTTTTGAAAGGCGGGTCTGTGCTAAGCCATAAAAGGACAGCAGCGGAGGATTGGCCGAAAAACAAAAAAAAAAAACACATCACACAAGAAAAGAACATGAGAAAGCATAGAAACGCTAAGTCCGTCATCACTAAGGACCCATCAAAACCCAAGCCGCTCCGAACCGCCCAAAAATTAACACGAACGCTCCGAACCGCCCAAAAATTGACGCCAACGCTACAACACACCCCCGAGGGCACCGCGAACAATTTTCGCTTGAGCGATGACGGAAAGAGCTTTTTTTTTAACCATTTCTGGGCATTCTTGTTGAGAAGTGTGCCCCTGCCGCATACTGTTAACGAAATCGCCCACATCGCATTGCGCTATCAGCATACGCCAGTGCGTTCAACCACTCGCACAATACCCGTTGCGTTGGTACATCCCTGGCACCGTCGTAGAATTGTCATTTTGTTTGATCAAACGGCTTTCTGTCTGAAAGAGTAAACGCCCACTACAATTTTGCGCTTCATGCCGCTCTAAGCAAACGGAAACTGTCAGCAGCTATGTTTTATTTGCTCAACAGCACATATTCATTCACACATTTTGATAACGTCCGGCAGTGGTGAGCCGTGCTCCCATCATTTTCCACTAGCTTTATGATTATGAGCCCACTTAGTGGTATCCGTGGCCCCCGGTGTAACCACCGTAGCCTCGGTAGCCTCCAGCGTAGCCACCGTAGCCCCTGTAGGCCCCAGCGTAGCCACCGTAGCTTCCGTAGCCACCGTAGCCCTCACTGCCCACTGTAGCCTCTAATTCCTCCAGCGTAGCCTCTTCCGAGACCTCCAATGTAGCCGACCCCAAACTCCTCCAAGGTGTCCCTGCATGACCTTCCATGGTAGCCTCCTGCGAGACCGCCGTAGCCGTAGCCGGGCGTCAGGTAGGCACTCTGAGCGTGGGTGTTTGACTGGCACGCCGGCGGGCACGACGCGCCGATATACCGCTGACGCCACCGTAGCCACTGGCAGCGGCCACCGCCACCAGACAGGACAGGATCAACAGCTGAAAACGACGACACCAGACATCAGTCACGTGACCTGGCCTTGCGCTGCTTGAGGCTCAAGCTGCTTCTTTCGGGCATCCGTGAGGCTGCCTGGGCTAGAACGTGTCAGACGAAAAAAACTGAAATATATGCTGTTTAAGCCACTAACAGTCAACTTCTGGACGTTCACAAGGCAAGTAGTTTTGTCGGAACAAAATCTGAGTAGCGGCCTCCGATTCTTGTTTTGTAGTCAGTGAGAAGTGGCCGTTGTAATAAAACGGTCCCAGATGTTGAAATTTGTTGAAGAGGCCATTAAGTTTCATACTGATCGGTACAAAAGCATAAAACGAGTGATTGTGATAAAAGGTGTGCAGATCAGCGCCTGGCGCACCGTCCGGGCTGCCCAGACCCGACCTGCCCGGCTCTACCAGGCTCGATCTGCCCCGGTCTGCGAGACCCGATCCCCCGCACTCCGTGCGGGTAGGCGCTCAACGAGCTACAGGGGCGTGGCCGGTGTGAGACAAGCAGAGCAAGTAGCTGACTGGAACAGAGTAAAATCGCTTTGAAAACAGAACGACTGTGGGTGTTGGCAAAACATCGCACCGCTTTGCTGCTCTTCAATCATAACTGTCTTTAAAGCGGACGGAGGTGATAATTCCGCTTGAGTGTGAAACTAGTACTGCGAAGCCGCGAATTATGGCTGGTGGGCTCCAAATGTGACCTGTGGCCAAGCGATTAAGGTGCTGACGTCACAAAGCAATGCCCTATTCCCAGCTGAAAAAGCCTTCGGCCCGACAGCAGGGCCTGTGCGAAGACTGCGCATGAATGCGCGTGATAGATCAGGCGATCTGTGCTGCGCGCAGACTCCAGAGTCCCCGCTCCCTTCCGGCAACCCCAGCTCCTAGGACATCCGGCGCACCACATACCTTCATGTTACAGAACGGGACGTGAGCGGGTGTTCGCTGCGAGGAATGCCTGCTGAAATCCGTCCGCCCGGCGCTTTTATACGGGCTGGCCGCTGCGTGCGGCGCCTGGACGCCAGCACGCACGGCCACCGACGGGCGCCGGCCCCGCACGCGGCCGCGGCCACCGGCGGGCGCCGCCCCGCACGCGGTCGCGGCCATGAGGGTCTGCAGGGCAATCGTTCCCGCCGTTTCACAGCGCGATCGCGCGCTTTCGCTCTCCTTGAACGGAGGATTGATCCCGGCCACTTTCGAATAAGGCGGCGGTGGAAGCCGAGTGTTGCACGCGGAGAGGGCGCGGCAACCCTCACAGGCGCCGGCGTGCGTGCCAGTGAGTGCCGAGTACCGCAAAGGTATCGTACAGCAAGGTGGCATCAGGCGGGGGTGCCAGGACCTTGAGGACGCATGGGACCTCATCGGACCCGTAACATTGGCAGTACGAGGAAACACATACGGTATGAGCCGGGAAGCCATCTCTGTACAAGTTTCCTCGCAATGGCGACGATCTGATGATGCAAGCAGACAGTAGAAATATGGGCTACAGAGCCATGCTCTGTTTTGCGAATTTTCAGACGGCCCCTTCACTATTCATCAAACAGAAGACTCGTAAGATTTATGACGGTGACACGGCCAATATTTTCAACACCGCTTCAAAGTGGTAATTCCGGCATAAATCGTAAGAGTCACAACTGTAAATGCCACGGCTTACAACCCGCCAATGCGAACGATCTATATATCTGCTTTCAAGACAATCTGGTGCATGGTGGAATTCAGAGATAACCATGGTGTATTTCGCAAGAGGTATCATGGCCATCATGCGTTAGTTATTTACTTCCTCTTGCCTTGGTGCATCGGGTGCGGCGTAACCTCTGGAAATGCTGGAAATTAAACGCCTGCCTGAGCTAAGGGGCTTATCATAGCACAGGAGTGCTGGCACTGCGAGGCCACATGGGAACGAATACCAGCCACGGGCCGTTTGATACGATTTCTTCGTTTCCTCCAGCAGTTTTGTTCCTCGAATAAGAATAAGTCGGATCAAAATCAAACCTCACTCACTGAATTTGTTCCCCGATAAAAATGCGGCTATTTTGAAAAAGAGCATTTATTGCATCTCCAAATTGTGCTACCACTCTCTACAGTTTCGTGAGCAACCACATAAAACATCATATCGAGTAGAAAACACGACAGTAGCATCTTCCCCCATGAATGGACCTAATTCATAACAAGCTCCAAGCAGATGAGCAGCTTTCTTTCATTCAAGCCTGGATACATGTTCCCCCCAGCCATAGCGCATCGGCTGTGGAAAAATGTGCATACAGTTTGTGCGCCATTTGTTCGAAGGATAAAATTCGTACGCCTGTAGTTCGTCGGGAAAATATACGTAGGTTATGAATTTCGTGACATGAAAAGTTCGTCCTTAAGAGGTTCGTTCCCTGAAGATATCCGTCGGTAAAAGATAGTAACAACCATGTGTATGCGCCTAAAAGTGCGCATGGCAAAAGGTTGTGCGAAATGTGATGAAGGATATAAGTACGCAAGATCCGTTCACCAAAGTCTCTAAGTATAAAGCTCATTTGACGAAGAACCTGCGAGATAACCCGAGCCTCAGCTCCTATGTTCATTCTAAACTCCACTTGGACGGATGATTTGCTGATCTCCGCTGGAAGAGTCTCATAGAACTCCGTCCCAAAGCAAGCATGTCGGCGTTTGGGAAATGGCAGTCAACTTCATCGCCACTGAACATTAGTACAAGTGAACTTTGATGGATCAAGCGGGGGCAGCGTGCTGGTGGCAAAAACAAAACACAAAAAGTGAAAAATCACAGAATAATAGCATTGACAAAGGCCGTGATGCACGCCCCTTGCCTTAACCAGCCACACACCGAGATGACGTCACCAATGGATGCGACACGTGGCATGTCGAGTCGTGCCGTGTGAAGCATGCCTGGCGTGCCAAGGCGCCAGTCTGTTCTCAGTGAAGTCAAGCATGGGGCGACAAAAATTACGTTGGATGCCGCCTGCTAAAGAGCGTGGAGTTTTGGTGAACGTCACCCAGAATGTGTCAAACCAGACTGCATAAGATTTTAAACGATTCCTGTGCGCATTTCTTCGTTTAGTACGCCTCCCATAACGTGTCCTCGTATGAGGGTAGATAAATAGCCTTGCGTTATAATAGTGCCATTCTGTTTGCTGTTGAAGAAGCGTGGGCTGCCAGATGGGTGAAGACCAGAAAAAGAGCAGCTGAGGATGAACTAACCACCACGGTATCACTAGATTGTACCGCAGCTTCGAGCTGGCGTGATGTTTTTAACCGTCAGCTCAGAACCGGCAATGACAGAGATAGTATATCTGTCGCGACCTTTGAATCCTTTCCTCTTCCCTCTCCACGCACCGGATGATAGCAAACGCCGAAAAATCGTGCCCATAGCCACTCGCCTTCTGATTGTCATCCATCCACCATCCTGCAGGTCAACAGGCAACAAGCCAGTACTTTTAGAACTTAGCGTCATCTATCTGTCTTAAATGACCTATATGGCGTTGGAAGGGCTTGATGAAGTTTCATTGAAAATGTAAAAGCTCCCTGTAGCTCCCTGTAGATGACGGATGCCGCCAGGTTTGGCTCCTGTGCGGAGTGTTGAACATGAATGTTTGAGCATATTGTTCACCGCTAACTGTAGACGACGGCTGCAAGGGCAGGTCGTCAGTGAGGCGACATAACTACAGGTTGAACAGCGCAAGAACACGCTCGCCACTGCAGTGTATTTCAACAAGACACAACACAAGAGACAGAGTGTAGACACACCAGTCTCGAGGCCACAGGATGCCTCGGGGCTCAGTCGCCATGTTGCCGGCACGCGGCGCCACCTGGCGCCGACTACACGGGCTCCACCAGCGGACCATCGCGCTGTTGCGTGCCGATGCCGCCAGGGGCGCTGCGCGCGGCCCAGGAGCGCAGCACGTACGCCTGGCGGCCGGGCAGCGCGCTGTCGTTGTGCGCCTGCATGTGGTGCCGGAAGGAAGCCAGCGGGTAGAATATCTGCGTGCGCGCCGTGATGTTGCCGGTGGTGTGTCCCTCGCGCGCGGCGCCTTTCGGCGTCAGGTCCACGAACCTGCCGGGTCGACACACGTGTCGCGCGTCAGACGTGGTCGGAGGGCGGCCCGCGGGTTCAGGGGTACGAGCTTAACACCGAACCGGTACACCACCCCACAAGGTGAACCGTCGTGATGCAAAGCAAGCTACTAGGGTACAAAAGGCGGCATTTAGCCGGTGATAAAAGCTGCAAAAAGAAAATCTCTAAAACTTTCTGGTGTAATGGCAGCCTAATAGGTCAAATCAGCATTAATCCTTGACAATAAAAGACCGAGGATGCGTGTTTTTATAACAAACCTTGGCACTAATACACAGTGTGTTTCATCAAGACATACACGGAGTCGTGACCCAAATCATGTGTAGAGAGTAGGTGGCGTAGGACCAACCTGACCAGTGCAATGTTTTGACCAGTCGTGCCTGGTTTGGAACCTTCATTCGCGACAATTTGACACCCATTTATGCATCTTTATTATCATCACATGCCAGACAGAAAACGGCACGTGGCCAAAACTCAACATGCCAACCCTAAAAAACGAACGCTCCAGCTCAGCCAGGTGTCAGGACTCGTTTTCAACCGTGTCGCAAGGCTCACACAAAGAACGTACCATCGGCGATGTAAGAAAAAAACGGTGCTGCCATTTAAAGTCGTCCTTTGTGAAGAACCGCCTGGGGATGGCAGCCACCACCGCCGTGCGAGGGCTAATTCACGTCTCGCTTGTGGCAAACAAACACGCGAGCGTAGGTAGGAACTTTTTGTCCGCAAGCAAAACCAAGTGCGTCAAGCATTGCGCAGACCGGCTGAGCCATGACACCGGCATGCAATGCTCTTCACCCTTCAACGCACTCGGAACGCGGTGGCGGCCGATAAAAACAGCACTTGGGCGTCTAAATGGGCCCCAGGTTGGCGCTTCTTGTGAGTCATTTGCTGACACATGCGCGGAACTACAGACCGGGTGTAACAGCACTTGGGCGTCTAAATGGGCCCCAGGTTCGCGCTTCTTGTGAGTCATCTCCCGACACATGCGTGGAACTACAGACTGAACGCGGGACGGACTTGGCCGTGTTTAAGAGCTGTCGGCACCGCCAAGATTGGATGCTGCGCTGATAGGCACGCTTTATGGTGCGGGTCCCACCATGAGCACAATGGCCCGTATGCAGCGGCTCAGTCTGTTCTAGTGCATATGGAAATATGATGTGGTGCGTATCGAAATATGATGTGGTGCGTATCGAAATATGATGTGGTGCGTATCGAAATATGATGTGGTGCGTATCGAAATATGATGTGGTGCGTATCGAATATGATGTGGTGCGTACGAAATATGATGTGGTGCGTATCGAAATGTGATGTGGTGCGTATCGAATATGATGTGGTGCGTATCGAAATATGTTGTGGTGCGTATCGAAATATGATGTGGTGCGTATCGAAATATGATGTGGTGCGTATCGAAATATGATGTGGTGCGTATCGAAATATGATGTGGTGCGTATCGAAATATGATGTGGTGCGTATCGAAATATGATGTGGTGCGTATCGAAATATGATGTGGTGCGTATCGAAATATGATGTGGTGCGTATCGAAATATGATGTGGTGCGTATCGAACTATGATGTGGTGCGTATCGAAATATGATGTGGTGCGTATCGAAATATGATGTGGTGCGTACCGAAATATGATGTGGTGCGTATCGAAATGTGGTGGTGCGTATCGAAATATGATGTGGTGCGTATCGAAATATGATGTGGTGCGTATCGAAATATGATGTGGTGCGTATCGAAATATGATGTGGTGCGTATCGAAATATGATGTGGTGCGTATCGAAATATGATGTGGTGCGTATCGAAATATGATGTGGTGCGTATCGAAATATGATGTGGTGCGTATCGAAATATGATGTGGTGCGTATCGAAATATGATGTGGTGCGTATCGAAATGCGCAGCTTACACAGCCCGAGCGAGGAAAATCTTAAACTAGTCTGCTCCAACATCAGCGCGCAGAACCGTGCAAAATACACTCACATGATGCTTTGCACTTGCAGTCTGCGTTTTGCCACCCATCCTAAGCACAGCCACTTTGCCTAACCGCCCATCGTTTTCTGTTAGAAGACTCAGCTGTTGCCAATCTCACCTGTCTTTGTAGTCGGTGCAGAATGACCTGGAGTCGAGCTGAAGTAGTTTAATAGGATTGTTGGAGTTGAAGCCGGAGCTGCTGATTTTCGTCGGAAGAAGATTATCCTTTGTTTCTTTATTGGTAGGATTGTCGAAGTCAAACTGGTATCGCCTATAAAGAAAAAGGCAGGATTGAAAAGTAAACTTGGAAGACTAAAATCTTTGAAAGCGATCAATACCCGCCCGACAGCGAACTCGTGATAGTCGCTTGCGGCGTACCTTCCTTGGCGACCAGTTGAAGTCATCTTTCTATCGTGAACTTCAACAACGAAAATCAGATCATATCAAAGGCATATCACTAAAGTTGCTTAATATGTTACGGAGCAAACTATGTGTTGGTGGCGCTCTTGTTCCAAATTCACCCAATTCAAACAACGTCATTGAGACCCATTGCAACATAGAGCTCAGAGACGATCGCATCAAATCACTTGATTCCTATCTGATACAAATCTTAAAGCACAGGTCAGAATTAAACATGGCAACACAGCTACAACATCTGTCAGATTTGACAGCGCCAGATTGAAGCGCAGGCAGCCTCCCACCTATGTATAGGCACGTGGCTGAAGATGATTGATGATGAGGAGGAGATGACATGGATGGCGGGATTTGGGGGTTCATACCACCCACACACTGGAAAACTTAAAACTTGGAGGATCCGGGGTCCGACTGGTTGTATGGGTGGTTTCTTTTCCAGGCGCGCAGCGCAGTAAAAAATGTTCTTGCTGAATGGAAAGAGCTAAACAAGCTTTATAATACCGCGTTAAGTTCTTTTCTGGCTGCTCAGCAGACCCCATATGGCTACCGCGGTCTCTCTTCGCGCCCAGTGGGCCCCACCTGGCCATCATGGACCCCTGTCCGCTTGAGCCTCTTTATAGCTACTTAATATAGGTACTTACTGCCTTTTCCTTTCATCGCTTTGTGTCGTTTATGTTACAAGTGGCACACAATACATATCGTTGACAACCACAAACACACATCCTATGCAGTCATTGCAAATGGGTGCACCAGCAATCGAGTTCATAGGGAATCAGCTGCATTTATTTGCGCCGTTCGCTTATGTCGTGTTACAAACATGTTACCAAAAGGCCTCAACAGCCATCTCAGACATCACGTTCCCGCCTCAGGTTTGTCCATTTCCTCTCATCCTGGATCAATGCTCCATGTGGTGTTGCGATAAAACCTTCCATTTATCTGCACTTTTCAAGCAGAGATAACGCGATTGAGATGTAGGCCTCAACCCCTCTGATTATGATTTTGAGGCATACAGCCACTTCATTCGTCAACTGATTTTAAGCTGTTCCCGGTATTACTCCCGACCCATTGCACTCAATTACGCCCCTGATAATATTGTTTTCCGATAACTACGTTCTTATTTCTATTCAAAATCGTTGAACGGTGGTACAGTCCCAAAACTGGTGGCCAGTAGTGCCCGTAACATTGAAATGCCCAGTCACTGCTTTCTGCAGTACCAGTGTTTCAAAGAAGGCTGTTTGTAACATGGGTCCTTGTTATTATCTTATAATGCAGCGCCCTGTACCGTGAAGTTAATGTGGCTTCAAAGCTATTCCGCTCTGTATCACACCAGCAATTATTTTCGCCGTATCGTTATCTCCATTTGTCTCCCCATTTTTGATTTATTTTAAGGATTTGATCTGCACCCTTTGAATGGATGGATTTCTGGGATCAGACCAAACGCTGTGCAGTGCTTGTTGCGCGAGCCCTGACCCCTACCATCCGATCGCGCAATTCCAGGCAATGACATAATTTAGCGGCAAAAGTTTGACGTGGCGCAGTGCTCGATGCGGCTCGTCTTGCCCTCTGACGTCAGCTGACCTTAAGCGCGACCGCTGCCACCGGCCACAGGTCACACCTGTCAAGAGCAAATAGCGAGCGCTTAAAGCGACTCGAACCCACCCCGCCACGGGTGGGTGGATCGGAATGCAGGCGTTCTAACCAACTGAGCCACCGGGACGGACACACCATCGGACATTTGTGTTCATGCCCGTGCACATAAGGGCATTTGTGTTCATTCCCGTGATATTTGTCCAAGCAAGTATGATATATACATAGTTGCCCCCTTGGAACATCACAAAAAGAGCGAAATCGCTGGATGAATAATAGGTGCTGGCAGCTTCTCCTTCCCAGAACGAACCAATGCACGCGGAAAGTTGTTTGTAAGGCCCAAGTATTCGAACAATGTGCTGTGTATACCATGTAAGCATCTTAACTTGCTGAAACTTGTCAGCAGACCATTTCTACAAAGCAAATTGTTCAGGATTATCTGACCTTTTACACGCCAGTCCTGTATCTATCCCTCGTTTCGCGAATTTCGTTACATCTGAATACCAAAGATGACACCGGCTAACTTCCAAGCATTCAAAGATCTTATACGCTTTCATGAGTCCACTACATTCTAAAATTACTTCCTTCCAAAACGGACTTTTGGTGTTCCTTGCAACCATTTAAAGCGATGCCTTATTTCTGATTCAGATAAGTTTACCTTCACCAACCATAAGGGCAAATCTCTTGATTCATAAACGTGTCGAAATAATTCCCCTCTTAACCCGTGATGCCTTGAAGGCAGCTATGCAAGCGTAAAGTCAGACGTGCCTAATCCTTCCATCATCTGCGTGCAGTCTCCCGAATCGCTCTATTCTGCTCTCCGTTACACAAGAACCTAAACAGTGTAATATACATAAGTCGAAAAAAATTTGTACTTGTGATCCTGATCGCTGCGAACAAGTGGTTAAATTTGGGTATGAAGAGGGTTTTATAACAGTTATCTTTTCCGTACAATGCTAAATAGCTCTTCTACCGAGATCTTATAACTAGCTGCGTTTCATCGAGCCTCAAATCAAAACTGCAAGCGAACATAACCCCATCTTTGTCTTCGAAAACAATCCCTGACACCTTCATTCTCTCCATGCACTGTATTTTCAAACCACGGCATATCTGCTCCTTTTCCTGCGTTATTTCCTACCCACATTGCTTATGTTTTTTCGATGTTTGGTGCCAATCCCGAGACTTTGTTCCCGCGTCCAGTAGGTTCTACCTGGCCTTTACGGACACCCTGGCCGCTCCAGTGTCCTTGTACCTACTTAACATAGCTACTACTCATTGCTTCTTGCTACAGCTGTAGCATTTTCCTCTGGCATTTTAGAATTCCTTCTGAGCGCGAAGCGACCCCGGGGCCTACTTAGTGTATCTTTGGCCGCTCAGAGGCCGCATCGACCTCTCAGGGTCCTCTGTGTGCCCAGCGTCTCTCTGGCCCCGCACGAACTTTTTAGCAGTCCAGTGCCTTTCCTGCTATTGTAGAGCCCATGGCCGGTGGCGTCCTGACGACTCAGACGACTCAGAGACTTAACTGATCGGCCAGGGTCCCTCTGGCCACCAAGGGACACCTCTGGTCGCTCAGTGGCCCTTCAGGCCACCTGAGTGTTTACCTGGCTGTTGACGGCTCATTGGCCTCTCAGCGGCACGTTTAGTCCCTAGAGCCATTTGGCTGCGTCCCCACGACTCTCTAGACACTAGGGGTCTCACCATCTGCTCAGGGCCATCCATGCTATCCTCCTGCCGCCCAAGAAACCTCATGTCTACTCGTGGGTCCCTGACCGCTCAGGTGGTCCAAGGACGCTAGGGCTCCTTGTGAACTCCCAAGACTCTGTTTGCCCAGTGCCCCTCTAGCCTCAAAGGGGTCTTTTAGCTCCTCAGGGGTCGGTTTGGCCATTTTAACCTCACCCTGGCTGCTAAGGTCCTTCTGGCCGCCGGGTGGCTCGTTTGGTCGTTCAGGGCCCTCCAGCTGTACATCCCCATTTTGAATCCTGCTCAGAGCTCTTTTGGACCGCTCAAAAATCCCACATTCAGGTCAAGAGTCTTCCTGCTCTCTTACGAACCTCGCAGCCGCTCAGGAAACTATGGCTGACCAACAGTCGCATTAAATACTCAAGGCGGCCTACCCTTGCTTAGTGTTCATCTGGCCGCTCATGTGGCCTTTTCGCTACTCGGATGTCTTTCCGGCGGCTGGGGGTCACTGTGGGCCACTGGAGAGCGATCTGACCATTGAGATGACCCGCCGGATAATCAGGGGTCCCACAAGTGATTCAGGTCTACTTAGGCCTCAGAGCCCCCATATTTGACACGTCTGAAAGCTATGAGCCTTTGGATAGTCGCAATCTGCTTAGCTGCCCAGTGCCCGTTTTCCTGCCCAAAGACCGTCCAGTTACCAAACAGCAGCTCAGTCCCTTTCACAAGCATGTCAGCCTTTTAGGTGGTCGTGATGACATGCAAACGAGTATGCGTTAAGTGGTCCCCTGGTGAAATATAAGGGAAGTCTTCGGCGAAACTACGTGAGTTGCCTTCTGCCTTTTGGTCCGGGTGTCCCGTGCATGAAATGCATGGCAACAATGCTGGATCGGCCGAGAGAATCCGGGTACATTCAGATAGGACCCTCTCATTCTCTATGGACCCGCTTGGCAAGGTTAATGATCCTATTAGACAATATAATTTGATTCTGAATAGTTTGAGCGGAATTGTGATGTCCTTGATGATGTTATTTATAATCACGGTTTCAATCTAAATTCAGCCCACCTTGGGCGTAGAAAAGTATCTAAAAAGTGATCTGCGCAAATGGGCGGAGTTTGATGAAATCCTGACAAAAGCTTTTATGTAGCTTTGGTTGGGTGAAATTGAAAAACGTGTGCCATGCTTTTGTCGAAACCATGGTGGAACTGAAACTGGAAAAACAAGGCCTTTGGTTCGCCAAAATGAATAATGAACGACAGGCTGGGTTGTTGCATGAAACGGTTGACAGGATTGTCCGGGATCGGTGACAGTTCGGTTAGCGCAAATTAATGAAAACACAAGTCATGACATTTTCAAATGGAGACAACTGCTTAAGATTCGTCAAAATTACGCATACCTTCAGGTCAATAAAATTTAACAAACGTGCCACCACACTCAGGCCTGTATGCTGTTTTCACGACAGGTTTATTTGTTTTGGAAAATTCACCGGCCTCTTTTTTGATAAAGTGACTCGAGCCATGTGCTGTACGAGCGGATTGAGGCTGGCCACTATGAACCGTCCTAATGGCCCGCGGCTGCTGATCCTGGACACTCATTTTTAGAGGGAGAGTGACAAGGTCGTGGTCTGGTAGTCACGTCCACGCGCCAGGCCATGATCAGTCTCTTGGCACCGGGCGCTGGTAAGTGACGGGCTTACGTTCGCGGGGGCCGTAGGATGCCGCCCACCAGGACGGCGCGGTGGTGAGGGTAGCCGGTGCCCACGTCCCGCGTGTCGTTGTTGTTGGACGGCAGTCGGTCGGGCGGCCTCAGCTGAGGGGGAGGCGTCAACGTTAGAGAAACAGGGCGGCACACGCGGCTCGTTAGGAGGATGTGGCTGTGGGTTTAACGAGGTGGAACCAGCGAGCGAGAGAAAAAAAGAACGAAGGGCAGAGAGAGAAGAGAGAGAGAGAGAGAAGAGAGAGATAGAGAGAGAGAGAGAGAAGAGAGAGAGAGAGAGAGAGAGAGAGAGAGAGAGAGAGATAGAGAGAGAGGAGAGAGAGAGAGATAGAGAGAGAGAGAGAGAGAGAGAGAGAGAGAGAGAGAGAGAGAGAGAGAGAGAGAGAGAGAGAGAGAGAAGAGAGAGAGAGAGAGAGAGAGACGAATATCCTGAGAAGGATGGGATGAATAGCAGGAGGCCATGTAGAACAGACTTGAGACAACAGTCCTACCTGACTCTCACAAACACTCAGGAAGCTATTGAACAGTTAGTTAAGGGCACCGTAATTCCGTACCAACAACAACATCGCGTGTATTATGTCATGTTGGATTGCGTACAAAGCGGTTATTGTTGGCTAGGAGCAGGCAGCACACGTTCCCAGCTCCATCAGCGTTAGGGCCCCCGCCTGTCGTCCCCCCCCCCCCCCCACGTCTCACGTGAACTGGCGGGAACTCGCTCTGGTAGGCGGTGGTGGGTGTGACGTAGTGCCGGGCCTGTGGGCCGCCCTCAGCCCCTCTCTCGTGCGTGAAGCCCGTCTCGCAGATGATCTCGGGGTTTCTCCGGCGAGCAGGTTGCCAGCCAGGTCCGCTGAAGAGCGGGCGTGGGACTGTGAAGCTTTGCACCTCCTTTCGCCTGGGTCAAAGGAACTGATCCACTGGCCGTGACCCAAGAGGATGTCGGACAGAGTGGCAGCTTACAATGCAGCTTACTGGTCGGACGCTGGCTTGAAACCGTTTTATGAATGAAAGGCTGGACGCATGTAAGCCTGTGATGCCAACGCGATTTGACATGGATATGCCACGAAACATCCGGCATTGAAGAGGCTGGATTGCCTTTCGTCAATCGATGTGTTCATGCTCATGCCGGGTAACGGATTTATTTGAAACTGAGAACGAACGTCGTGATGTATTTTGGTACACAGAACAGCCCTGAGCATGTGCAGGACACGGAACTGACTAAACACAAGTGTTTTTTCAGCACGAAACTGGTGGTCGATACGCGCAGTGAAATCAAACTACGGTCTAGTTCAGCATTGGGTCAAATACGAGGGTATTAATACAAATACAAATAAAAATGCACCCAATACAAATAATACAAATAATACAAAATAATAATACAAATACAAATACATCCCCACCACAACAGCACAGTGACTGTCACTTTTGTCACTCTATCACGTTCGGTAAGTCTGAACTGCATCCAGGAAGCCGCGCAGCTGCGTAAACCGCGTCCCAGTGCGTTGTGTTACTACACCCCTGCTTGAAAGCGTAACAAGAAGTGTCCAGCCAAACGGACGCGCCAGCGGCCGGCGTCGGCCGTGCCGGGCAGCGGCGTCAGGCCGTGCCGGGCGGCGGCGTCAGGCCGCAGCCAGGCACCTCATCCAGACCCTGGCCTCCACCCAGCACCAGCGCCGCCAACGCCACTCACTGTGGAATGGCTTCTGTCGGAAGATGCCTTGATACTCGGACACGTAGTCCTTGGGTGGGTTTTTGACCAGGTGCTCGCGCGCCAGGGGCAAGTCACGCATGAAGCAGGCCGGCCTGCCCGGGCTGCTCCGCCAGCTGCGGGGTAGCTGTTGGCGACAACACGGCTTAGGTGGCACATCAACTACAGCTGAGGAGGAGCCACCGACGACGGACGGTTCAGATCACGCGAGGCAGCTGCTCAAAAATTGGACCAAATGCTCTGCAGGGCTGGCTTTGGGCTCGGCGCCATTGCTCAGCGAATATTGTTACGAAGACCATTACAACTCCACGCCAGAAGAGTACTCAAGTGTAACGGTTAACTTCGGGCGGAGTACTTCTAAAGCGTCACGCAATGTCATCAGGTGGCTGCCCCATGCCAGCCTTACCCCTTTCACCGTGTCATCCTGACCCCCATGCCAGCCTGACTCCTCCCACCGTGTTATCCTGAATCCTGACCCCCGTGTCAGCCTGACCCCTCTCAACGTGTTAGCCTGACCCCCGTGTTTGCCTGACCCCTCCATGACCAGTTGTCCCTCTGCCCTCAGGTGGCTGTCCCGTGCCAGCCTAACCCCTTTTATGACAAGCTGTCCCTCCGCCATCAGGTGGCTGTCCCGTGCCAGCCTGACCACCTGTGCCAGCTTGACCTCTCCATGACCAGTTATCCTTCCGCCATCAGATGGCTACCCCGTGCCAGCCTGGCCCTCCGTGCCAACCTGACCCCTCCGAGACCACTTGTCCCTCTGCCCTCCTGTGCTTGCCCTGTGCCAGTCTGACGCCTCTCATGACCCGCTTTCCCTTTGACGAACCGATTATCGAGCGAAGTTTTTGGGACGCGGACCGACATACTCTGCCGCCTGAGTATTAAGGTGTCCAGTTCTCTATCGGCAGCGCTACGAGGACAGCAAACCGCTAACTAGTCACCAAGAGGAATCGTTATCAATGCAGCCGCATACCAGCGGCGACCACAAAGTGCGAGTCATGGGCATTCCATGTGCACCTAATACAAGGCCAAATTGATCACGCCAGGTACATCTCATAGGGTAATGCTGCAGCGATGTGATATGCGCTGCAGCGCATATCACAGCGTTATGTGCTATGGAAAACAGGTGAGTCCTGGACAGAGCATTGATGTTGACGGGGTATGCTGGGCTCGACCTGCAGGGATAGTAATGCAACAGCCGAGCAGCTTCGATAAACGTGGCCGACCTTGCCTCTGCGCTGTGCGGCTTCCACCAACCTTGACGATCTGCTGGGTGGGCGTGGCGTTACTGGCGTAGCCGGAGGCGCTGTTATCGTTGATGGCCGCCGGCAGCGGCTCGCGTCCGTCGTGCATGACCCAGGCCGAGTGCCGCTCGGGCAGCGCCGAGCGACACAGCTGATGGGTCAGCCGCTTCACCTCCGGGGTCGCCATCACGCCGATCTCGCCAGTCGGCACCAGCGAGCGGATGAACCCGGTACCTGTCGGCACGTGAACCCGCTATATTTTGGCACGTGAACCCGCTACATGTCGGCACGTGAACCCGCCACCTGTCGGCACGTGAACCGACTACATGTCAGCACGTGAACCCGCTACATGTCAGCACGTGAACCCGCCACCTGTCGGCACGTGAACCCGCTATATGTCGGCATGTGAACCTGGTACCTGCCGACACGTGAACTCGGCTCATGCCAGCACGTGACTACGGTATGGGACGTAGTCACGTGCACGTGACTACGGTATGACGGCACGGGAGACCGGTAGTTGTCAGCACGTGAAAGAGCGCCGGTGCTGTCCTTCCGGGTGAGCCCCGGGAAACAAAGACGATGAGGGGGGGGGGGGAGATCCAGGCCTCAAGAGGCCCAGCAGGCAGTTACAGTCTTCATTTCCCTTGAAGCCTTGCTTATGCATAGAAATTTGGAAACATTTTTGTAGTTCTAGACATGGTGTGGCTGAGCGCACTTAAATTCGGGCTCATTCTGTAAGCGTAGACCGAGAAATAACTTTATCTGTGACTGGAACGAATGTTAGCTCGCTAGTCATTCTCTCACCCGGGGCTGACGGGAGGAGAACATGAGCAATGTTAGCTGTACCTCTCTGATGGTAAGCGGCTGAGTTGATGTCACCGCTTATGTTAAGCGTTTTGGATGACATCACGTACCGAACATCACATCTGTGTGCCACGCGAACGGTGTGTTCAAAAACAAAAGCCTGATGAGAAGTGCATTGTACGGGTGCATTGCTTCATCTGGAGGGGCAATTGATTTACATGAGGGGGGAGCGGCTATTACGTGAGGAAGAGAACTGTTATTTACATGGGAGGAAAAAGTTCACGCAGCTATGCTTCTGGTCCTACAAATATGTCTGTCTACAATGCCTACAATGTCTACAATGCCTGGAAAGACGTTGGCCAGGTTCGGGTGAATGTCACCGGCGTCACTCACCGTCCCGGATAGAGGTGGAGTTGGCTTGTAGTGTGGGATGTTATGGGCACTAGAGTAGGACGTTGCGTAGAAGTCCATGTCGTACGTGCCGCCTCCCTGGCTTTGGTCGACATGTCGGCTTCCTCTAGTGCTACTCGTGAAATAATCCATGACGGTCTTCTCTTGGCTTTCCTTTGACTAACGGTCTCTTAACTGCGCAGATAATTTTGTACAAAATAAAAGTTGACACCGAGACCTGAGTTGTTTTGCGGAGGTTTTGCCCTCCGACCGAACCGCGGACTGCTGGCTTGAATCTGCACCAAGAAGGCAGGGAAGCAAGCTCCCAATCTTGCGTGTCAGCTGACTGAGCAGCCACGTGATCAGAGTATCGAACAAACCTCCGATCCTGAGCAATCGATGGGCGAATGGTTGAGCTCTGGACTGACTGGGACTGCGCAGACATTTACGCACGGCAGCGTGAGCTCGGGCGCCGCGGGGTGGCAGCCGTACATCGCCCTCCGATAGTCTGATGGTCCAAGTGTCTAGACTTGTCACCAAACGGTAGGACTGATTCCTGAGATAGCGAATTAATCAATGGGTTGGACGAACCTGGATCGGTCTCACTGTTTGGTTTCTTTTGCGACACAAGCACCTGTTGATCATTAGCGACGCTGTCTCTCTACGCCGATTGAACCTGGGATCCCGGAACACATGTGGCACGCAGACTTGCCCGGTCCATAAAAACGGCTATATTCCTAAAAGACACAGGAATGGCAAGGGGGTAGAGATGGAAAGAAGAATTTCGAAGAAGTACCTTGATGTGTCATCATGCAACATGTCCTTGGGTTGGACTGGACTACAATCTTAGATAATCCAGCGTATCATGCTAAAGCGTTTTAAAGCAGAGATTAGGTTGAAATGAGTTTTGAGTCTGTTATGAAAACCGAAATGGTGAACACTAGAATAACATGGATCAATTGGCCGGGACTGCATCGTCGGAATTTAATATTTGAAAACTTATACCACATGACTCACAGCATTAATCAAGCATTGCAAGATGATCTGACAGAGCATATCAATTTGACCGGACCGATCCAGAAACTTCAGTCCATGAAGACATCAGCCACATAACCTGCGACACAAACTGAGGAATGAAAGGAATTTATTTCTTGCTAGGAGTGCTCCGTCTGTTCTATTTCAACAGATGCATTGCAACTGAAACGTTGTGGCAAAACAGCTAGAAGCGGTTGACCCATGAAATACTTTTGAGTTTATTAGCAGTAATGCCCATCGGTCGTGTGCCAGCTGTCCAGTACCAAACTACGGCTGCCGATCGTTGAAACATGGGTAATCTCACCATGTCATCCTGCGAAAACATGATATGCCGAACTGAACGAACTCGGCATGCATATCTCAATTTTCCTGGCTTTTCTGCGAGAAATAGGGCTATTACTACCGTCTTATCACCGTCTGTCATTTACTGTCGTCGACAGCCATTTGTGTTCGCGTGATCGGCATTTCCAATATGAATCATTGCAATGGCTGTGCAAATATGGGTGATACAGTTGGCAATATCCTTCCCATTGCTGTTTTGCTACAGATCAGGCACGAGTTACGTATTTTTTCCGTCATCCGCAGCTGCAGACGCCCTTGGCCCACACCCATCCAGACCAATTCCCGTTGTATTTATGTCCGCAAGGTGCAAAGCCTCTCATGAGACTTGGCGAGTAACACACATACATGAGTATCACGCCTGCTGAGCTCTCCCAGCAGCACGTCTTCTTGTGAGCTCGGAGCAGACCAGCGGGTACTGTCGAGACGCATGCATCACATCACGCCTCTGAGGTCAGCCACTGCACATTCAGCAGATGTCTCAACCACCGCACGCTCAGCAGATGTCAGCAGTGTTGCAAGCAGACACTAATCGCCACGTGGGGCTGCAGCTCAAACAGTGAGGACGGGCTGCGTCATCGGCGGCACAGGGTGGGCACTGTGA